TGGATTAAAGTCGAAATACGAAGCAAGTGCCACAAACTGCTAGGTTTAGATGATGACACATCCCTCGTGTGTCTGGGGAAGACTCTAGCGCCCAAGCGGCTGCTGCCCCGCTACGGGACCCCAATCCCTCACTCAGCCCCCGGGGTCAGGGCACGCTGCCCTCTGAGGGCCTGAGCAATCCTGACTCGGGGATAAATGACCCTTAGAGCAAAAGCACGTCATGACTTCCTCCGACCCACAGAGCCACTGAGGACAATGCCCCAATCACACCTCAGAACAGGACAGGACAAGCTCCCCGAGGCCGGAGACAGCGCCTGACTCTCACCAGGCGCCCATCACGGCCTCGCTCGACAAGATCCGTTAGGCGAAAGGCTGACTGACCGCGTCACTCCTGGAAAGTCAGGCCACCTTGTCTGCAAGCACAGTCTTTCCTCGACATCACAGAGCTGAAGGGACAGGAAAATCGGGCCCACTGCCTACAAATAATTCCTATAATGCAAGGTGAACACTTCTGACGGCACGGCCTTGCCCACCCCCATCCACCACCAGGCCTGCCATCCGACACTCAGACCCGTTCTGAGGGGGGGACCGAGCGCACACGGAGCACTGCTCCCTTCTGGGGGGCCTGGGAAGGGCCAGAAGTCTGAAGGACTCGGCTCCGGACCCCTCCCCACCAGATTCTGGTTCTCCCACAAAATCAGCCTGGGAAAGGTAAGCAAATGACTGGGAACACGTCCCGCTGGCCCAAGAGGAGCTCCGTCTGTGAGCAGCTACGCAATCGTACCAAAACCCAACCACTCCCCGGCCGACCTCCTGCGGGGAGCCCTCGATGACCGTCACAAGGTCTCCCCAGTGCCGCAGTATTCACAGGATTATCACACGGACCACAGACGTCTGGCTCCGGGCCACATGCAAATCGGTCCTGCACATACAGGACCCCTCCTGTTCGCTTACTCTGGGAAGATGCCACCCCCGCCCCCCAGAATCAAGACACCGGCAGGCATCCCACCTTCACGCCCAGCGCTGAATCCTGCAGCCAAACACGGCTTCTCTGCGAAGGTTTTCCAAAGGCATCAGGTGCTGGACTATTTTTCAAGTCCCAATACTATAGTTTCTTAAATGCATGGAAAAACTATCGCCACATCTGCAGGAAAAGCATAACCTTACAGCACAGCAGATGCTCTCGAGGCACTCGCTGATGACCACACAGACACTGCGACAGGAGCATCCGGTCACACTGAGCGTCTGCGACACGCCTGCCACTCCCCTGAATGCTGGGGAGGCAGTGCTCCCAGACAGTCTCTGCCCGCGGCCACGTACCCTGGTAGGACACAGCATCGGCGCTCCAATACCCGAACGGGACTGGACCCACCTCCAGGAGCGACAGCACCGAACCTCTGTCTGCTCAGGGTTTTCGGAGCAGCCTGGTGAGCTACAGCTTATCTGGGAAATTGTGGGATCCGCAGGCTCCCCAGGGATGGTCCTGGCCTCTTCCCACCCAGAGGGCCTCTCACGTCACTGACCGCTGCAGGCCGAGTATTTAGGGGCTTAGGGGGCGCGAGTTAGAAGCGTCGCCATCCACACTGCGCTCACTCTGTGACAGCTGAGGACTGGACCTCGGGGATGTAGGCAGACGCCCACCCCGGTGTCACCCAGATCCTACCGCATAAACCTCTAAGAGAAATGATGGTTCCGAATTAAGCCCCACTTCGAGAGTCATTTCTACAATAACAGGGTTCTTTGCTTTCCTTGGAGGAATTTCGCTCTGATCAGACAGGAAGACTGAAACCCAGCGGCTGATGGGTAAAGGCGCCCGAACAAGGACACCTGTCCGCCCCTCCGAAGCCTCCGTGAGCTGGCACTTGGTGTCCACACCTCAACCCCGGACGCGTTCGGCCCTCCTCTTCTCGGGGAAACGGCCACGTCCAAAGGGGAAGGAAACTGGTAACATGCATACGAGCAGAAGTGGAACAGGAGAGAATTTGGTGAAGGTGGATTTGGGAATGTTCTAGCAAAGGCAGTCCACCGGGTGGGGCAGCTTCCCAGACCCCGCTGCCCCCGAAATGCGGTGCTTAAGAAGCACAGGGCAACCGTATCTCCAGTCTCACAATTCAAACCTTCCTGCCAGCGTGGGACATAAACGCTTCAACCCTTACTACGCAGACTAGATAATCGTCCAACGTACCTAGATGAAAATATCAGACACGACCCAACCACCAGTGTAGAAGAGGAAAAAACAAGGTTGAACTCCTGCTGAAAACTGCTGGTTCCTGTGGCCTCGGCCCCAAAGGCCTCCCCTGCCAAAAGCTGTGCCCCCCCATCTCCCTGGCTGACACCTGGCCCTCGTTGGCATTCCCCCGTCATTCCCTTCCCCCTCCACCCCTGCAAGTCTTTCCCAGAGCCCCCCCACACACACACTGGGACCCCGTCCCCTCCACAGTGTGCAGCACTGGTTGGTGTTATCCATATCTCCCCACACTCCAGAAAGCCCCACAAGGACAGGACTTGTTTTGTTCAGCTGAGCCCCCAGGGCCTAAGCAGAGGGAACGAGTGAGCGGACGAGAAGTGCCCCAGGCCCTCCTAAAACAGGAGGTTCAAGCAACCCCAGCCCACCGCCTATTTTCATACACCTATGAGCCAGGAGTGGTTTTTACACTTTTAAATGGTTGGGGGAAAAAGACGAAAAGAACATATTTTGCGACGTGTGAAAATCACATGAAATTCAAATCTCAGTCCACAGATAAAAATTATAGAAATGCTGCCACGCTCGCTTTTTGGTTGTTTCTGTCCCATGAGAGCGGAGCAGTCAGAGAAACAGCACGGTTATGAGACCTAAAATATTTACTCTGTGGCCTTGTCATTAAAACCTTCCCCCTCCAACTACACCAGCTCCTCAGAGTCCAGCCACGGACGTGAAACACAACAGACCGAAAATCGGGACCGGCCGGAATCGGGGTGAAGCTCTCTGAAGAGCGGACGCCTGTTGTATTCGTGGGTGCTGCACGCCAGGACAGTCAGCTCGCCTGAGGGGTCTGGCTCACCCTTCTAGAGGGCCGAGGCCTGCCCCCAAACCAGAAGGTGATCCCCTTCTATGCTTTCACTCCACAGACGTCTGCCTGGGCACCTACTCTGCAGGCAGCGTCCGCGAGGTGAGGATACAAACATCAGGAAATGGGGTGCAGGCCACGCCGTGGATGATGGATCAGAGGAAGCCACGGTGACATCACACGATGACACAGCACCTGCTTCTTAGGGGCTTATTAAGTGGGAGACCGAGACGAACCCATGAGAAGTCAGGTCTTGATAAAACAGCTAAATGACACTTGAAGACCGCCGAGTGGACCTCTAGGGCCCGACAGCCGAGCAGAACCATTCAGCCCAGAAGGCCGGTTCAGCGCCTCCATTCTGTGTGGGACACACCAGGCTCCCCCGAGCTAACACATGCCTGTCATTAAGCTGCGAGGGGTTTCAACACCAGAGAAATGTGCATCCTTCCCACAAAAGTGCGCATGCCTGTGTAGTTGCGCGTGATTCAGAAACCGACACCATGTCCGTTTGAGCACCAAATAGCTCCAAGAAAGGGGCCCAGGGAGGGGATGCATCTGCTGACAGTCTGGTGATGCCCGGAGCGCCCCAGGCTGCAGAGACCTGGCGGAGGAGAGGGGCTCCTGCTCTGTTTTACCCGCAGTCAGTCCTCCCTGCGCGCCAGCTCGCTCCACAACTGTCCCCTGCACTGGGGAGAAGCCTCCAGCACACCAGACTCGCCGGCCCCAGAAGCATCGGCCTCTGCCTGACCACTGTACCAACTTCCAAGTGCAGAATGTTCCCGGTGCCTTTTTACTACATGAAAAAGGCAGAAATCAAATGCAGTAAAGGGAAAACCACTACACCTTATCTAATCCCAAACCACTGGTATTCAAAGTCAAAGAAGGTACACTTGTCAGAACAGATAACACAATTAGATATTCTGCATTTTGAACACTCAACTATTCCCGGAGCCTCTACTTTCAAAGAGGATCTGAGTCTAGCTTCCAATCTCAGGCAAATCACAGCCCCTCTCTGGCCTCCATTCCTTGTAAAATCTGTAAAATAAGGCGCTGGATCAGATCCCTGAATTCAGGAATAGAGAAGTTTAGCAAGAAATTCCAGTATCAGCTTTCATTAAGACTCAAGCAGTAAAACGTTCTGAAAAAGCCAGCGAAACCACAGCTTTGCCAGAGAGGGCTGACAGATGCTTTAAAACAAGAAACACATGATAACACAGTACGCAGACTGCTGATTTTTCTCTTCCTCAACTCATCCGTCAAAAGAAATGGTATCTGCAAAATGATACCCAACCAGCCGAAGCCGAAGCCTCCTCACTAACCTGAGGCTCCCCTCTGCAAGTCAGAGGCTCCCCCGTGGCCGAGGACCCTGAAACGAAGCGTCAGCACTTACAGGAATCAGTTCTTGGACCTGAAAAGTGGGAGGAACATAAATTACTGATTTCCACTTTTACCACCACAGAAGTTTTACGCCCGCAGCTCAAAAGTTATCACTATACGCTAAAATTCCTCCTCCAAGTGAGCCCCTACTCTGGAACCCGGCCTTGCCTGTGTCTCCGTTCCCACGGTTTTTGTAAAGCAGACCCTCAGCTTTACAGATTCGTCCCAGTCGGTGATCCACATGAAATCCACATTAAAACTCATTTCCTTCTTTAAAATACTCTGCATGCACACAAAGGTGGACAGAATACCGTAAGAAGCACGCTGCACCCACCACCCGTCCCAGACGTGAACACGGCAAGGGGTAAACTCCATCCTGAGTCCGGGGCTCGTCACCCCACGCGGCTCCCCACTCAGCACACAGACATCTGCGTGACCTTTCTAACCGGTCCGTAAACGGTACCGTGTGTGTGCAACCATTCCGTAACCTTTTCTTGCTCAGTTTTACGAGCCAAGCGTGTCGACAGCTGTTTCTTTACGTTCACTGCTGCATAATGCTCTGTTACGTGACCATACCATGTACTTGGCCACGGACACTGCTTGTTTCACGTGGCTGCCGCGTGGCGCCCGCTCTGCGCCAGCCATTTCCCACGACATTTCCCGGACGCTCACAACTCGAGGAAGGGGAGACTGAAAAGGACACTGGGACAGACGGGTGGCGTAAGCCGCCCAGCACAAGCGCACGGCAGACCCGGGCGAGTTCCAGACCACTCACCTCTCCCACCACAGTCTTCAGGCTCAACCTCAAAGCCCCACTCAGGTCCACACCAACATTATTCGCATTTTTCTAAACGACAAACCTCATAGAGGACTCGGAAGTCCTCTAAGACAATCTGAAAGAGGATGCTCTATTTCGTTCTTCAACAAACAATCCCACAGTAAATGCATCTGACGCAGGGCGGTCCACACGCAGTGAGGACAAGCCTTTCTCTGGCACAAGTCCGGGTGCTCCTGGAGTCATTCCCAAGTTTATACAAACGGTTTCTAAGTCAGCCTGAGCTGAACTGCAGCCCTGCCTGGCTTCCTCTGGAGGAACAGGCCGTCTGCACCCACTTGGAGCGGTGTGGAAGGGCCTGGAAGAACCCAGGACGCAGAGTCTGCTTGAACCGCAACAGCTGAGCTGCGGCGGCTCTGAGAATGGCTCCAGCTCCAGCTCCAGCTGCTGCCGGCTCGGCTCGGAGGTCCGGCAACAGCTGTGCGCTCACCAGGCCCAGGGACTCCGCAAGGCCCCCGCCGCTCTGCACTTGGCCGGGGCCCGCGCAGCCCTGCTGCTCCGCGACACGGAAGACGGTTGAGGGTGGGGGCTCGGGGGAGGGGGGCGGGGGCCGAGGCCAGGAAGGAGATGCGGACTTCAGCAGGAGGGCCCCCGGGACCTGAGGGCGGGGAGGCCCGTGTGTCTCCCACCCCGTCTCGGCTACAAGATTAAGGAAGCCTTGCTCGGGCGGACCCGGTTAAAGCAACCCCTTCCCACCTCTCCCAAGAAAACAGGCTCCGCCACTTTCGGGCTGTGCGACCCCGACAGAGCGCCCCTGCCCGCCAGGAGGGGCTGCAGTGAGTGACCTCTAAGGGCCCCGCCGCCCCCGACTGTGTGCAGCGCGAGGGCAACCGGCGGATCCCACTCAACCCCACGCCCCACGAGGGAGACGCACCGTTACCCCCACGTTACAAAAGAGGCAGCGGAGGCACAAAGGGGTCGTAACCCAGGCCAGTCAAGGAGCCCTCAGTCGCGAACTCCCGGGAGGGCGCGGGGAGCCCAAGAGAGCGGCGGGGGCGAAGGACGGGTCCAGGCACTGCGCAGCCCGCAGCCCCAAGCCCGGGTCCGCTGGGCCCCGGGGCGGGCGGGGAAGGGAGGGACGTGGGCGCCAGGGGCGGGGAGGGCCGGGGACTGGACGGCGGTAGGGGAGGGACTCAGGGACGGCGGCGGAATGCCGGCCAATAGGTGGGACGGCCGGGCGGGGGCCGGGAAGACTGAGGCGAAAATTCCTCACCGGAGCAACCGTGACGGCGCCCGCGCCAGCACCTGAAGTGCGCGCGCGGCGGCTTCGGCGCCGGGTTCGGCCGCGTCGTCGAATCGGTAGTCGAAGCAGGCGTCCGCGATGTTCAGGGTGGCCGAGGGGCGTCCCGCGGGCTCTGAAGTATCAGAGGCAGCAGCGCGCGCGTCGAACACGAACCACCGGTTGCGGTGAAGAAGCGGCCCTGCCCGACGTTTCGCAGGCAGGCTGGCACAGTCGCCGGTCTCTGCCGTTGCCGCGCCCTCCCGTTCTCCTCCTCCTCGTCTGGCGTGCCCTGGGTCCGGCATCGCCGCTCCCAGCCGCCCACGTCAGCCGCTGCCATTACCGCCGCCCCTGCGTGCTCCCCTTGTCATCAAGGGTGTGCAGCCTCAGTAAAAGTTGCCCCCGGGTGCCGCCCCGTCTCCCTGCCAGTCAAGCCAGGCTGCACTGGGTCTGCGGGCGCAAGGCCGCCTGAATTAGAGGTTGCCGTTTCCTGCTGTTGCCGCCTCTGCCGATCCCTCGTCCCGGCCCCAGCGAGGCGGGAGTGGTCCCCGGACCCGCCCTGTGGGAGGCTTCTGGCATGCCTGGGAAAGTGGCACGAGGGCCGCGGCACTAGTTCCTGGGTTGCTGCCTCGCAAAAAGGCCATATTCTGCCTGGGGTCTGCAGCACCCGGGTGGAGGGGCCGGGGTAAAAGGGCCGCGGACGGCGGAGCTATGGGGAGGCGGCCTGGGGAACGGTCGCGGAGGGCGGGGCGGCCCGGCAGAGGCCACGACCGTGCAGACCGGCCGCCGCCAGAAGAGAGGAAGCGTGAGAAACGACGAGACCCTGCCGGTGGCGACAAGGTGGACCCAAGGCCCTCGTGTACAAACTGAAAAACACACAGAGACACAACGTCGGAGCAGAGAAGAATCTGGCGCTCGCCGGAGGGGGGCGGGGATGGGGGTGTCCAGGCTTCCAGGTGCAGCTCAGGGAACAGTCGGTGCTGATGTAGCAGCGACACCGGCGGGTCACTGTCGTGCACCTGAGACCAGTGGAGCACGTGTGCCAAGTGCACTTCCGCTGAAAGAGGAAGGTAATAGCCGAGTTTCTGAAAGAGCCAACTCAAAGCAAATACCGCGCTGTCTTCCTTCCGCGTTTTTTTACACAGGTCCGTTAACAGACTCAGTAAAAGGCGGAAAGCTGAGCCTTCTGAGATGGGCAGGGCACCACCAGTTTCCGGGAAAAGAGAGCTCAGCCAGCCAGACATGCCCCCTACCTTCACTGTCGCGGGACATAGCTTTGGTGGGCGCCCCCCACCCCCACCCCAAGGATCTGCCCGGCGTGGCCCCCACCTTCATGCCCTGGGTTCTCTTGGAGCACAAAACACAGGTGTTGAGGGTGATCTCTGGAGCCAGACTGATGGGATCCGTCTTCTAGCTCTGCTACTAACCAGAGGTGTGACCTTGGGCAAGTTACTTAACCTCTCTGAGTCTCAGCTTCTTCACCCGGGGAATGGGGATAATACAGTTCGTACTACTGTCCTTGTGAGGGTTACAGGAGAAATGCACAGCAAAGTGCTCAGCACGTGCCTAGCACATAGTAGGCCCTCCATAGGTCCCAGCTGTCGTTACTATCATCGTGTAGTGAACACGACTGTCCTAAGCAGCGTCTGAGAGGGCAGTCCTGCAGCAGACCAGCCAGCATGGGGGAGGCGAGAGCAGGAGTGGGATGGGCCACACTGTGGAGTCGGGGAACCAAGTTCCATCTGGGCCTCGCCCTATGGGTGAGAGGGGCAGTGACTAATGGGCTTGCAGGGTGAGGCGGCAGTGTGGGACGCGACCGGGAAATCCTATGGGAAAGGGACCAGCTGGGAGTGCTGGATCCTACTAGATCCGCGTGGCTGCAGGAGGCACAGGGAAGAGCAGGGGACAGCCACTGTCCTCAGCCCTGTGGGCCAATTCTGCAAATGTGGGGCGGCCGTGGCCTGTGGCAGAGACAGAGTTCTGCGAAGCATGAGGAAGGCCCCCTCCCAGGAACAGGGCTGAGCTCCCAGGAACAGGGCTGAGCCCCCAGCCGGACAGACGGGACCCGACCCGGGTCGGCCTCTGTGACCCGCCGAGCGTGACCGTCCCGCACCAGAGCCTCCACTCCCTCCCACGTCACCCGTGGGGGAGCAGTGGTGCCCTGTTCCTTGTGCGGGGCCACACCCCACACCGCAGCAAACATGTTCAAATGCCCCACGTCCTATGATAAACTTTGCTCTAAAAACCTTTGAAGGAATTTTTATAATTGTGATCTTGATGTTGTCTGACCGTGAGGAATCCATTTTAGTTTATGTTTGACGAACAATTTCTTGGCGATGGTGGTGTCTGTGTGGGCACCCTGGCGAGTGAGAGAAATCCAGCCTACACATGGTTTTCCAAGGGGGTGACATTTTTTAAAGTTTTTTAAGTCATCTCTACACCCAACCCAGGGCTCAAACTCATGACCCCAAGATCAACAATGGCTCGCTCCACCGGCCAAGCCGGCCAGGCGCCCCAGGAGTGACATTTTTATGATTACTGTGATGCTGACATAATGTCACGCTTTGTAGACATCTAATGAAGTGTTTATTAATTTGGATTTTGCTCCTCTTGGGTTTTGGAGCTCGGGTATATTTGTCCTCGGCTACAGACAGTCCGTGGGCCCCTTGAAAGCCACAGAGCCAGGCACCGGGCCTGCAGAGTCTAGGGAGCGAAGTGCCCTGTCCAGGCCCAGAACATGGCCCTGTGCGGGGAGTGGGGAGTGCTCAGCCTCACCCCGAATCCCCTTGAGGGGCCAAGT